TACAGGTGCACATGAATTAATTTCTTTAGATGTGACTTCTCTTTTCACGAACGTTCCAATGGATATAGCGATCGACTGTGTGAACGAGCAATGGAATTTCATTTCCAAGGATTGCTCTCTGCCCAAGAATGAGTTTTTGGGAGCGATACAGTTTGTCTTAGATTTTTTCTTTTGACAATGTAATTTACAAGCAAAGCTGTGGTACCCCCCATGGGCTCTCCATTATCACCGGTAATAGCGGACTTAGTGATGAGGAGATTGGAGACGGTGTCCCTGATGTCGTTCAATTTGGACATCTTGTTTTATTATAGATACGTTGATGATATATGTATCGCGGTGTCTCCCTCTAAAATCGACTTTTTATTAGAACAGTTTAAATTTTTATTCTAATCATCCTTTGACACGGAAAAAAGACACCATTTTTTCGTTAGTTGACAGAGCTTTTTTATTATCTGACGTTATGCTTCATACAAAAAAATCTTTTATTATTAATATTTTACTAGATAATGACTATCCATTGAATTTCATTTTTGACACTATTAATCAACGGAATAAAAATTTAATTAAAAATAGATATAAAGTACATAATGTTTTGACTGACAATGTTTGTATGAATGAAACTATCTCTTGGCTTACATTCCGCGTCACACGGAAAAATTTAGAAGATTTAATAAAAACGACCTCAAGTGTCTTTTCATAGCCCCAACAAAATGGGCAAATACATAAAAGTACAGAAGGACATTTGTCCTCATACATCGAAAAGCAATATCGTTTATAAAATATCGTGTAATAATTGCGATGCGTCTTATGTTGGACAGACGGGCAAACAATTGAAAACCAGAATTACCGAACATCGTAATCATATCAGGCATAAAACTTCTGTCCGCTCTGTTATCACTGAACATAGGCTACAATGTAATCACGAGTTCCAATGGGACAACGTCAAAATCTTAGATGAAGAGCCTTCTTATAGGAAGCGTTTGATTTCCGAAATGCTTTACATAAAGAAACAGAAAAACAGTTTTAATTTACAAATGGACACTGAAGGTCTCCATAAGGCATATTTACCCATGGTAAATAAAGTTTGACTTTTTGATACTGACAGCCCGTCTCCTCTCTCAGTGCGTGGCGATTCATTTCAACGAGCGGTCACATTAGTTCGTTACACAATGTTCGTTTTTCACATCTACATTCCATTCGTCTTTATGCGGTCATACCATTTATACTTATATGGATACATTACTTTTGATCGTTTTTACTTATGTTTGCTGGTGAGTTTTCACTTTTTATCTTGATTGCGGTTGTCAATTTATTTAAGTTTACTTTATTCATAAGAGATCTTTTCCTTTTTTCTTTTTTATCAACTAGAACTTGGCTATGAGATATGACACTTTTTTGACTGTTCAATCGTATGAATAATGTCGTGTTCTATATCGAGACTCAACCGAACTACGTGTATTCTTAATCTGTGAACTTTTGCGACAATTATTATTTATTATTTATTATTTTTTAATTCTGTTTCTATTCTGTTAACATCTGAAGAGGGCTCAATCCGGTAGCCAAAACTTGTAATGTTTACCTTTCACCGTTTATTATTTCTTATTATACGTCTTTTCTTCATTTTTTACCTTTTTTGTACCTTTGATTTATGTCTTTAATTATGTATTTTTTTAAGGAATGCGCTGACTCTTATTTCGCTCTTCATTTGTTGTTATTTATTTTATTAAACGAAACTAACTCTAAGTCCAGCATTATCAAATTCTCAAGTATAGGAGATAGTGGAGAGTTTATGGGCAAATCGAAAGGTTGTCTGTAAAATTTGTCATTAAACATAAAAAAAAGTAGAATTCACAATTAATTTCAGTGCTCTAAAAAATTTAGTTTGTCGGTATCAAGAACTAGATCTATCGGTACGTTAATAAAAAGTGATATTACGTCCAAAGATAAAAGAGAGTCTTCGGCAGGAATTGTCAAATTTGAAAATTTTTTAATCAAAAAATAGCTTTTAACTATAGAGCTATTAGCTGGTGGTAAACTCTTACTAATGATATTATGTAGGAAAGATGCTAGATTATGGAGTGGACTTCCAATCGATGAAACTATAATTCTCAATGGACATCCAATTTTGTGGATCTTAGGTAACCCATAAGCTAGTGGTAAAATTGGTGTGGTTTAAATTTAAATTGTTATAACTACAGTCCGAGAGGTATCCGTAATACTTCCAACCCTTCAATAATAATTTTAATTCAGTAATAATTTTATTTCCTGGATTACGTCTCAAATTTTCATAAGTATTAGAGTCTGCGAATAACGATTCCATTTTATGTATATACTCATGTTTATCTAGTGTCACAACTACATTGCCTTTGTCCGCTCGTGTAAAAATAATGTTAGGATTGTTGTTTAAAAAAGTTGACAATGCTCATATTGATGAGATTCTTATTAAATTCAATTCTTACCTCCCACGATTACAATTCACAATGGAAATTGATGGAGACTCATTAAATTTTCTTGACATTTGCTTGATAAAAAAAGACTCTTGATGAGACTCTTATTTTTGATTGGTATCGTAAACCTACATTTTCGGGTCGTTTTCTTAATTATTTTTCATGGCATCCTCTCTGTCAAAAAATTGGCACGATCATTGGTTTGATCGATAGAGTTTTATTACTTTCTCATCCGAGTTTTCATAAACAGAATTTTGACTCAGTTATAAAAATCCTTCTGAATAATGGTTATCCTCTAAGTTTGATATTTTCAACTATCAAAAAAAGACTTTACAAAAAATTTGATCTGTTTAATTGTGTTGATGATTTTATTATTGACAAACAATTGACAACCAAAGAAGATAGCAAAAATAAAAAAATTTTCTGTATACCATTTATTCCTAATATTTCCACAAAAATCAGTATGCTCTTTAAAAATGTACCATTTTTACGTATGGCTTATAGAGGCATAAATAAGCTCAATAGATTTATTAAAGTTCAGAAAGATGTTCTATCTCAATCTTCTCAATCTAATGTAATATATAAGATTGATTGTAAAGATTCATGCTTCGTATGTTGGACAGACAAGTAGATGTCTAAAAACGCGCATAAGTGGACATAGGAATCATATTAATAGAAACACGACCCAACATTCGATTATCACACAACATTGGATGGATTTATTTCATGGTTTTAATTGGGACAACGTACATATTTTAGACAAGGAGCAAATTCTACATAAAAGATTGTTATCAGAAATGATACATATTAAAAAACAAGGTCTGAATTTACAAAACGAAACACTTTCTCTTGATCCGTTATATATTGATCTATTTTCAGAGACGTAATGCTTCCAATCTATATCATTTACACTTTGTTATTGATTATTTATATTTTTACTTATTGTCTTTGTAAATACATATTCTGTTATTCACTGGTTCTCTCTTTCATTTTACATCTGTCTACTAAACTGTTATGTCATGTCAAATATCTTTTAAATTTTGTTTTATGGGAACTAAAATTGGTTTTTACTGTTATTTATATTAACTTTTTTAATTTATTCACATTTGCATTACACAGTGAATGGAACAGTTTAAGGGAACATGTGCAACAAACTATATAAAAACCGTTCAATCTTGATAGTCGTATAAGTTTTTCACCATTTTATTCTCATGTTTTTTAATTATTTGTTACTCTTGAGTCGGTTGTTTTTAAAACAAAATATTTTTCTTTTTAGTTAACTTAGTAATTTAAAGACCAAGATTAACTCGGACATCACTACGTGTTTTCTCGCTTTTTATATTATTAGTTGATACTCTTATGCGCTACCATTATCTAATTTTGTTAATATATCTTTTGTACTGAAGAGGATTTTGACCGTAGGTCGAAACGTATACGTTTAATATTCACTTTGAATAAATGATATTAAATTACATACTAATAACCAGTGTCGGCTCAAATTGGCATTTTATTTATTATTTTTTAGAATTTTCTTTAGAGCCTATTGATTTTATTGTTTATAAAATAGTTGTAGAGGAAAGCCGCCTATTGAGATGGGCCTAATATGAGATACCGGCGTTTCCGCTATACTAATGAACGCTATCTATTGGTTCCACCACAAATTTATTGCTCTTGGATTGAAAACTAGGTATTTAATGGAAAATTTATTACTAGGTTCTGCCCGTAATCATTGTAAAAAAGATTTTAGAATTTGGATGTTTTCCAGTTTTATTGAGATGAAATGTCTTTAAACCCTTGTTAATATTTAATAAAATATTTAATAAATAAATATTTGGCAATATATTCTTCATGTAATGATAGAGTGAGATCGTACTAATAGAAAAATACGGGATATTTTGAATTGCTTAATTACAAAAGGTAGATTTAGTGATCGTAAAACTGAAAATCGTAAGATGTCCAGGGTATTTTCAATATGAAATAATTTATGCTCCAATGTCATAATTGCTAAATCTGTACACTTATAAAAAGGACAACCGCAATGAACCTCGAATGCGTATTTCTACTTGGTTCCAACTACCTGACAATAAATCTTACATACATCGCATATTTATTTTGCATGCGGTGACTGTGTTTCTTTGTATTTTACAAACACTAAGTTTTTTAATTACAATACTGATGTACTTTGCGTTTTATTATCGATTTCTCGGGGCATAATTTTTTGACTTTGCAATTTGCTCACTTTTTACATTTTTTTAATTTAAAAAAGAATAGAATTTGAATAAAATCGTTCATAACACTATCCTAAAACTTATTAAATTCTCTGCAAAATAGCCTATTATTCTACTTCATTATTAACCTATTATTCTGCTTAATATATTTCTAACATTTACCCAAAATGCACACAGTATCTCATAATTGGGGTCTTTCCTCTATATATGCCTGCGTATGTTTATGCGCGTGCGTATGTAATGGTGATGGTAATGGAAATTTTATAAAAATTTGCATAACAACAATAAAAATAATAATAAATTATAATTTTGTAAAATTTTACAGCAAAGATGTACGACTACCCGTTCAACTGCAACGAGCTATGGCGGCGGAAGCCGAAGCTGCACGTGAAGCACGCGCTAAAGTAAGGCAATGTATAGTATAAGAAAAAAAAGATAATTATGCATATTAGAAGCGACCTCACAGATTTCAATGATCTTGAAAGGCCATGACCTCAAATCACCTCCAACAGATTTTAGCCATCGCTCGTTATTCGCTAGTTATAAACAAAATAAGTTTAAAAAGTAATATCTTTTTTTCTACTTATTCTACTACATAAAATAAAAATTCTGTTTTAAAGTGAATCCCTCTCCTGACTAAGGATACACGACTTTCCATGAGAAATGAGTTCAATCCCACTTCCCTTTGCCAAGGAGCGCATGACATTCCACGCGAGCAAATTTTACCCTACCTCCCTCTCGGTCATGGGGCGTTCGACTTTTACGCGAAGCGAATTCTGGGCAGAGGGATAGATAAAGTGGACCTTGCTTCGCATAAAAAGTCGGACACCACTTGGCACGGGAGAAGGTAAAGTGAAACTCGTTTCGCGTGAAAAGTCAAACGCAGAGAAAGGGGAGTGGGCTTCGTTTCGCGTGGAAAGCTTATGTCTACTACAAACTGGACGCGATGAACGATGAACGACAAGCAATATCCAATAAAGATTCTTTTTTTTTCATATGACAACGCAAAGCAAAGCTCTCATTGGATATCGCTCGTCACTCAGCGCTCATCACGTCCAATGTGCAGTAGGCATTACGCTTTTAGGCAAAGTGGGAGGGAAGTACCTCATTTCGCGCGAGCTTGAAAAATCCTGTGGCTCTAAACGGATAGAAAAAGTAGTAGATCTCGCTTCGCGTGAAAAGTTAAACATTCTTAACAAGGAGAGATATAGGATATTATTTAATATAAGGTAAATGTACCATTTAATGGACATGACCCAATTGTTGAACAAAATGACACAAATTTTAAATATTAAACTTTTTATTGATATATATGATTCTAAATAAATTTTTAATTAATTTTTTATATCATTAAAAAATTAAGTACGAGGGTCGTAAAAGTCCGTGCAAAGTCACTGCTGATGGCACTACTGGCGCGTATCAAGGTTAGATTTAGTTAGTAGCATCTCTTGGAGGAACACACACCAAGTTACAGCCAGATCGGTCTATTTGTTTGTGTTTGGCATTCATTTGAATCGAGGAAGTCGAGTGATTTTCAATAACGCACCAGCTCACACCTCAGCAGATGTGCCATCAGCAGTGACTTTGCACGGACTTTTCGAACGACCCTCGTATTATCTAATTTATTCATATTATATATAATACTTCTGTATAAAAAATTTAGAAATAATGTAACGATGGCAACGAATAAAACATCTCGATGTCTAAAGCTTTAGGCTTAGAGATATTTTTTTTATTATATAACTATTTAAAAATATAAATAATAAGGAGCATACAACCACAACAATAGATGTTAACGCAAGTCATATATTTAAAATTCACAAATAAATAAGTAGATATTTCGGTCAAGATAATATAATTTATAATATAGTTCAACTCCCTTAATTTCTATTCACGCTGTTAATTCATACCATAAGCAAGAAAAAATTATTTCACCATCTTAACTTGCGAACATTACGTTGTAATTTTATGTAACTTCTTTTCAGTAATTCTTTGTGTAATTTTAATTTAACATTATTGTAATATCTTTCGACTAGCGTTAATTAGTTTATAGTTTCTAAGATTTTCATTTTTTGTTATCTTGTTTGTACTGATAATGGTCAAATCTTGACCGAAACGTCTACTTATTTATTTGTGAATTTTAAATATATGACTTGCGTTAACATCTATTATTGTGGCTGTATGCTCCTTATTATATTTATAATTGTTTAGTCACTTTCAAACATTTTACATTTAACTATTTTGAATTTTGATTTTTTATTATATGAATAATATATATATTTAAAATATACATACGCGCGCACTACTATTTTATGTATGTACTAGTCATTGGACAGTCAAGTAAACTGCATTGTAATTTTATTAATAAGAACAATTAAATCAACAAAGGACATAAATGAAACATAGTAAGTTAATTAACTTTCAATAATAACAATATAAATTTATGTTAAGTATTTATGTTAAGAAAATATAATTTTAATTAGCATATAATAATAATTTTGAATAACATTTTTAAATCTAAACTTAATATAATCTCAGTTTTTTTTAATATAAATATAATAATCTCTATTTTCAACAATAAAAAAGAAATATGTAAGAAAAAAGGAAGCACGTCAAAAATATAATCAAGCTAGCCTTGATAACGTCTTATCATCAATCTAAAAAAATACAAGTTTGAAGAAAGTGTCACAACAGTACAATATTCCTAAAAGCACTTTATATTTAAAAAATCGAGGTAATCGTGGAACACTAATTATTCGACCAGGGCCAAAATCAATTTTACCTTTCGAGGATGAAAATAAAATTGTAACATGAATTTTACAATGTTTCGATGCAAAATGTCCTGTGACCAAAACGCAACTTTTAGACAATGTAAAACTCTAGTTTGAAATTAGTAAAAAAACTTCTCCATTTTAAGATAATCAACCAGGAAGATATTTCGGTTTTACAGCTTTTTAAAACATCATCCTCGAATTTCGGAACGGGTGAGCCAAAAAGCGATGCTCGTAACAAGGCAACAAAAGGAAAGATTTGAGCTTAATTTTCTGAAATATTACATTATTTCGAGTTTAAAAATCTTATCGATGTCAATCCATCACGTGTGTTTAATTGTGATAAAAGTACTTTTTTTTTAATTCAAGCGGAGATCGTGTTATTGTTAGAAAGGGATCAAAAGTGCATAAAATTATGGTAGTGATAAAAAGACTGTTCTATATACCGTAAATGCTGCTAGAAACATTCCACCACCAATGATTTTACATCACGAATACCATTCGATATTTCCAGCAAAATATCTTGTACAATCCTAATAAATAAAATATGATTTTCTTCTATAATAAAAAATTGTTTATTATTTGTCCAATAATTGGGTAATACTTTTGTGGACACAGAGACACATCACATTTATTTGTCCAATAATTAGGACGTTTAACTCATATTATGTTTATAACTAAATATAATTTTTACATTTGAGACAAATAATATATTCAATAATGGATTTAGTTTTAGAAAACATCTATTCTTACTAGGCATCATAATAAACTAAAATTTTTATGTTTATCTATTTTATGTTTGTCCAATAACCGGTACATTTGCCTTATGTGTATAGTAGAAATGCAACATTATTTTTTAAACTTTTTTTGTTAATAACTTTTTAACAAATAACGAGCGAAGGCTAAAACTTGTGTTGTATAATTAAATATAAATTAATTCCTAAAAACTTCTTAACGATACAAAATGAGTGGATATATAGGAGTCAAGCACGGTAATTCTTGTGCCAATACAGTTAACGAAACAACTTTATTAATAATAAATCCGCTTACATGTTTCGGCTTACTTTTGAGCCAACCTCAGAGACAATATGATGTTGCAATTACAAAAAATTTTTTTACAAACTAATTCATTTTAGTGAGCCACCTCCACCTATTAACGGAAATTATAATATTGTATTGTATTAAAACAAACTTTAATAACAATCTCTAGCCTGACATCACGTTGGTGTTCTTTTAGGTAGGTTGATTATTCTCCCGGTTCTCAAACAAGACAACAGTCTCTGACACATAATCAGACGAAAGAATTCTATCCATTCTCCCATATACATATCAAAGGATAGATCGGATTAGCAGGATATTAAACAAACACAATATCCGAACTATCTTTAAACCACCCAAAAAGATAGGGCAAATCTTAAAAAATCCTAAAGATCAAAGACCTCCACTCAGCTCCGCAGGAGTATACAAAACACCTTATTCCTGCGGGCAAGTATATATTGGAGAAACCGGGAGAATGCTCAACCTACGGATAAAAGAACACCAACGTGATGTCAGGCTAAAACATATCACGCAGTCAGCAGTATCAGATCACAACATCGAAACAGGACATCAAATACTGTTTGATAAAACGACCACAATAGCCAACATTACTTCATACTTTCCAAGAAAGTATTGAGAAGCCATAGATATAGAAACATCATAAGAATCTAAATAGAGATAATAGCTACAACATAAATATGGAAAAAAGTTTGGTTGGGAATTTATAGGCATTTTGTAATTGTCAAAAATAATTCTCTCATCCTTGATCAAAAGTTGACATTCAAAAAATTTATACCCCTATTATCACCATAATCGACAGTAAAATTAATACGTTTGTGGTAAGAATTGAAAGAACTTAATATACGAGTATATAATAAACTTTTTTCTAATCATCTTGTAGAACATAAAAGGGCTGTTTCAATTGAGTTGTTAAACAGAATTTTATTCCTTTTCCATCCTAAATTCCATGAAAACAGTATTATTTCTCTAATTAAAACTCCAACAGAATGGATACCTTTCAAAATTTTTATTCACAACGATTAATAATAGAATAAAAACTCTGTCTTTAAAAAAGAATTTTGGGTTGTTTAAAGAACATAATGTCATTTCTAATTCGGATTCCTCGAATATCAATAAAAAATTTTTTACCATTCCTTATTTTAAAAAAACTTCTGAGAAAAAAAATTCTGTATAAGTAAATTTGACTTTAATAAACCAATAAATAGCATGAGCACTTTTATAAAAACTGGCAAAGACAAGATTAAAAAAGATGATCATTCTAATGTTGTTTACAAAATTAATTGTCAGAATTGTAATCATTCTTATGTAGATCAGACAAAAAGAAAGTTAAAGACGACTTAAAGAACACATTAAAGATTTAAATAAATCTTCTAATTCTTTATCTGTTATTTCGTGTCATAAACTGGACAATGATCACATGATTGATTGGGAAAATTTTAGAATTCTTGATTCCGAACGTTCTTATTACAAAAGTTTCTGAGATGCATATTAAACGACAAGAAAATGGCTTAAATAAACAGAGTGATACAGAACGCTTTCCTGAAATTTATCTCCCACTCATTGGAAATAGCTTC